TTCCTTAACAGCAACCCCGTCATTCCCGCCCCTGAAAAAATTAGAATCTTGTGAGCAGCCTCCCAGAGCCCCAGGCAATCTTAACAGAAATCCCATAAACCTCTGTAAACGCCCTAGACCCCTGAAACCCAAACCCCTAAACCCTAAACCCCTAAACCCCTAAACCCTTAACCCAAAACCTACTGAATCTGTCCTGCCAAAGGCACTTTCATCATGTGCTCCCAGCTGGCCTTGCTCCGGGGAGATCTCGAGGCGGCCCTCCTCTACTCCGACATCGTGGCTTTCCTTCGCAGAGAACTAGGGGGCTATTTATAAGTATATATATAAATACATATGTATATATATGTATATAGAGGGTTCAGGGTGTAGGGTTTCGGGTTTGCGGGTTCTTAGTAGGGGATTAGGGAATGGAATCCCTATATGAGCTATAGTCTAAACTCCTCAAAGGGGGGCTTGTATAGGGGATTACATAGGGGAGTAGTATAGGGTTATTAAGGGGGATACTGGAAGTTTAGACTATAGCATATTCTATGCTAAGAACCAGTAAAGTCTTCAGGGTTGGAGAGGCTTCTTAAGTTTGGGCTTTTCTTGTGTGCGTGACATTGCATTGAGTCAGGAACTGTGAATTTGTATCATGCAAGTTGATGAGACTCTGATTTACTGACCTTCCTGACAGTCAAACGATAACCGATGGATTGAATCGTACTGCGGGGGCTTTGAACTTGTTGCGAAGTGGACGACTGAAGCCAAACCTGCCTGAGTATGGCTGCGTGAGAGTTTGCTTGGTGGGCATCTGAGAAAGGTGCCTGAGAGCCCAGGCGAACTACATGCTTCCCTTTGCCGCGTCATGCCCATGCCTTAGGCACAGTGGTTTGTGCGGCCGCACTGGAGCGCTTAGATTTTGATGAATTGAACTTCGCCACACCACAAAACAATAGCCTGTGCTGCAAACGTGAAATAAGCTGTGAAGCCCCGCTTCAACTCTGTACGTTCTAACTTCCTGGGGAACGTTAGATGCTAGTAACCAGCCACGGCAGGTTTGCAGTACACTCTGGCATTGTAGTGATCTGAGGCATGGATGTGGTCCAGTGGACCATACGTCCAGAGGACTATGCGCAGTCCACAGTGCTGTGAAGCATGCCTGATGACACGGTTGAGGAATTCATTGTAGTTAGGTCTGAAAATCTGCAGGAACATCTCTTTACGCAAGTAGTACTTACTGGTTCTTCGTAGGGAACACGGGAACATCATCCCCAAATAATCCCTGTATAATATTTTCTCATACTCCCTACTAGCCCGCTACCCTAAACCAGAACAGTCTAGTCTGCGCAGAAAAAGCGTGAAGAAATAGCCTAGTCTGGACCTGCAGGATGTCAGTGAGAACCACCGTGTGCTGGTGTTGGCAGCTGCAGAGCGCGAGGTGTGATCATTGGATACAGAGCAGCATAGGGACATGGGGTCAGTCAAGCTCTTGACATTTTATTGGAGTTCTGAACAGCAAAAAGCCCCAAATCCCTGGCCAGCATAGATCTTGCATCCACAGATTCCGCCAGGAGAACGGCATGTCTGGACCTCTACGGCCAGAAGAGGCTGATCGAGCTGCCAGCTTGCGAATTTGAAGTCGAGGGGCTTCAGGGTTCTCTGCGGTGGCATAGCTTTGATACCGTCATGTATCCCAGAACCCAGATGCTCCTGAGCGGTGACGCCCTGTCAGATACACTCGCTCCTGTGGCGTTTCGCTGCCGTCGAGTCTTAGTGTGAAGCTCGTTTGCACTCAGCGCTGCTTCTGTGACACCCATTCATGCAACCCTGCAGGAATTGCTTGACTCAAGCAGTTGCCAATAGGATCTCAGCTGCATTGCACTTGATTAAAGGCTTGTAGCAGGAACCTTTGAAGTCGCAGCGGGGTTGAATGTTCGGCTTCCGCAAGGACAGCCCGCACTACCCCATGACGATGAAGGCCCCAGCTTCATGATGTCCTTGAGTCAGGTCCGCAGCTTACTCAGCAAGAGGCGAACACAAAGCCCATGAGAGCGATGCTTGGTTGCTGAAGTTGTGTCAAGCCGGCTGATCACCTCCCAGGGTCCCAGGCACTACATCTCCATGGGTTACCAAGGTTCCTTTGGTGGCATCAGTATTGCACTCTCAGCTTCTGGCTTTTGATGCTTTAAACTGAACATCTTCTCGGGGCCTGGAATTTCACCTTGATGCTTCTGTCCAAGGGTCTCCGAGTACGACCTGCTCTTCGATTCGAGCGGCAATTCCGGAGAAAATGCCAGCGTTGCTTGATGCTATCAAGTCTCACCAGGACAGCATTGTCCTCCTTGTGCCACAAGAAATGATAAGACAGGTCTAGGTACTGTAGGCGTTACACACCGGTCGGCATGAAGATCTTGCGTGCCTTAGAGATCAATGCAACGCCTGATGCTTGGAGCAGGTCTGCTGGGGCAGCCTGCGAAGCGAATGGTGACCTTCCTGCAGAGGGCCAAGAGCAATAGGAAACGGTTGCTCTGAGCCACGCCTGGCTATCTTTCCTTCCTTTTCCAAGTTGCAAAGTGCCTTCCCAGCTCCCTCACTCCCAATGACTCATGAATCTGACTCTGAAATCAGTTTTGTCAATTCCTGGCTTCCGGTATGATCATGCTGCCATATGTATCTCCGAGCTGCTTTGCGTCACAGCACATGCCAAGCACCAGTGAACCTTTGGCTAGGGTTTAGGGTTTAGGGTTCTGTCGGGATTATAGTTATAGGGGTTATATGGGGATTCTATAGGGGTTCTATAGGGATTATATAGGGGCTCTACCTAGGCTGCTCCTCACCGCTGCGCTGGCCTGCCTAGCCCTCTGGCAGTCGTTGGGATCTCAAGGATCTGGCGGCCATGCATTTTGAGAGTCTTCGATCGCTCCTGCAAGACAGGGCATTGCCGCAAAAGCTTGTTGCCTCTGCTTGCTGGGGCATGCTTCGTATTGTAGGCTTTAGAAGCAGCCTGCGTGTTCTTGAAGAGCGCTACATGGCGCACAACTCATGAACGCCATGGCAGATTTCGAGATAGCAGCAGGAAATGGAGACAAGGCAACATGGAAAGTCTGAATTCAAACTGTCGGCAGACACGGGCTGAATTTGGCTCTTGATGCTCAGGGGATGCGTGCTCGGCGGGATATAGATGTCTCATTGCTTTGGAACCGGAAACCAGCAGTGTAAGCCAGAGGACAGGCGATCTTTGTGCAACAGAAGTCATCTGTCTTGGGACCATGTCATGCCATCGATGCCGATGAAGCGTCATAATCCCCTATATACCATAGTAGTTTTCACGTTCTTTTCCATTATCCCTAAACCCTAAACCCTATATCACCCTATTACAGTAGTTTCCATTCTATCTTGCATTATCCCTATTGACCCCTATTGATAACTTTTTCATTATCCCTATTAAGAAGCCCAATATACTATAGTAGATTCCATGTTCTTTTCCATTATCCCTATATAACCCCAACCCGAAACCCTATACAATCCCAACATTTTATGGTAGCCCTAAACCCTAAGCCCTAAACCCTAACCGATTAATAACCCCAAAGTTTCCAACATGGATAACGTGCAAAGGTCTTCGAGCCCTCAGCCTCGCTTGAACGTGCGAAGAGTGCAGGGGTTCTCTGAGGCCAGGGTCAGGGTTTAGGGTTGAGGGTTTAGGGTTTGGGGTTTAGGGTTTGGGGTTTAGGGTTTTGGGGTTTGGGGTTGAGGGTTTAGTGTTTAGGGTTTAGGTTAGGTGATGGTTGTGGCTTTGGGTTCTTTAGGTGGGGTCTATATTGGAGACTTGCAGATGCCCAGCTTTGAGGGAAGGATGTTGTTACAGTGACCTTCTCAAGATCCGGAAGAGGCCTTCAGGCCTCAGGTGCTGCTGCAAGTTTCCACAGTGCATAGAGTATCATAGAGCATTAGCTTTGTCCGCACTGCTGTACAATTTCTTTTTGCCATGAACACCTGGGTGCTTTGATGCATCCTGGCAGTTGGCCCCATCATTGCTTTCTCGTTCCAACATGTGGGCCCGTTTGGGGATGATGAATTTTGGGCAAGCGCACACAAGACAGGATGTGGCTGGGGCCTCCACAGATGCCAGCGAGGCAGCGCAGAGCTTGAGGGTTGGTGATAAGTGCTGACGGCAGTCGCATGCAGTGCCTTCCTTCATGAACATTCATGGCGCCACCAAGGTGGGCAGTTGCCTGACCTTCAAGCCCAATACAATACAATGGACATGTACCGCTGGGAGTGGTTTTGCACAGAAGCCTCAAGCAGCAAGGCTGGCATGGGGTGCGAAGAGCCCATTACTCACTCAACTTTAGAGCCTTTCGCACTAGACCTCCATCACAAGCTTTTCAGACAGACAACCACTGCGTGCCCCTGAGTTGAAAGTGAGGCTTACCCAGTTGTAGAAGCAGATGCGTAGGGACCTGGCTGGGTTGATATTCCGCATATTTACGGAGAAGACTGACAGGTTGAGGTAGCATGAGGTAGCAAGCCGAGAGAAGTCGTACATCCACAATACCCACATATCCCAGTGTGATCTCGTAAGGCACCGCCAGCGGGATTAAGGCAGCCTCGCCGCAGGAATGGATCGTCGTGACTCCTCTAGTCTAGCCTCCCAAAATGTGCAGACTCTACAGGGTTGCTGTTAAGGACCTTAACTTGAATTACCATGATGGGCATATATAGTAGTTGATATGGTTTGCCCAAATATCGAATCAAGTTCCTTAAGAGCAACCCAGTCTACCCGAGAAACCGCGGAAGCTCAACAGGCTGGCAGGACAACACACAGCCGGACTTGGCACAAAGTGTGTTCTGCAAATGAGAGTTTCCCAAGAGTAGGGGGACCTTTTTTTCTTTTTGAATACGGACTATAGTATATTGGGATCTATATTGGGGTCCCCTTACGTAGGGAAACTACCAAGTTCTGCCTATCCCGATAGTGACTGCATGTTGCTTGGCAGCCCTATTTCGAAGCCCTCTTGTGCTGAAATAGGAAGCCGATGCCACACCTTCCGATGCCAGCACAGAGGACCGCATTGCATCTGCAATAGATTCGCCTGTATGTGAGCTACGGACTAAATTTAGGTCGGGGGCACCTATAGGGGACCATATGTGTTTTGGGGGGGACTTACTAAGTGACATACTACAAATTTAGTCCAGGGCTCATGTAGTTACCGTGCAAGTCAGGGGGGGTGCGGAGGGAGGGATGCTGTGCATGAATCGTGTGTCGTATGCTGCTTGATAGTTAGCGTCAGCGTGCTTTCGCTTTCAAAGCTGCAACCAGATTAAAGAAGAATGCCTTAGCATTATGGAATGGCTTGCGGAACGGATGCACTTACTGCAGGACTTGGCAGGAGCTGCTGAGGAGGGATCCAGTGAGGCCTTGGGTGCAGGGCAAGCAAACCATGGAGAAATGTTGCCCATAGGAGAAGTGGCATGAATGGTACAAGTTACAGGCAGAAGTGTGTAATTTTCACGATGGTTTGATGTCGATTGGTGTTGATTGAATTTCGGCGCCCTTTCCAAAGAGGAGGCCGATGACACACCTTCCGATGCGAGCACGGAGGACGTCGTTGCATCTGCAAAGACTGGCCTGTATGTAGCTACTGTACCAGGCAAAGGAGGTGCCAAGAGATGTGAGCACTGGAATGGTATCGGGCTTGTGCTCGCAGAACTGCATGCTTTTGCATCGTGAAATGACATGGCTTGCAAAATAGATGCACTTACTGCAGGACTTGGCTGGAGCTGCTGAGGAAGGATCCAGTGAGGCTCAGCGTACGGACAGACACAACAAGTGCAAAATAACATGCAAACGACATGGTTAGAATGGAAAAGCTGTGCGATGTTCAGGATGGTTCGATGTTGATTGATGTTGCTTGAATTTGGGTGCCCTTTCACAGAGGAAGCCGATGCCACACCTTCCGATGCCAGCACGGAGGACCACATTGCATCTGCAAAAGACCGGCCTGCAGGTAGCTACTGTAAAAGGCCCCGGGCAGAGGAGGTGCGGAGGGACATGAGCAGTGTAAGCGTATGAATCGTATTCTGCCATGTGCTTTCGTTCGCAGAACTGCAACCAAATTCAAGGAGAATGCTTTTGGCATTATGGAATGGCTTGCGGAACGGATGCACTTACCGCAGGACTTGGCAGGAGCTGCTGAGGAGGAATCCAGTGAGGCCCGGTGTGCGGAGAGACAGAGAGAGGTCCAAGCAAGCGATTGAGAAATGTCATCCATCAGGAGCGGCGGCATGTATGGTACATGTTTGAAAGCAGATGTGTGTGATGTTCACGATTGTTGGATGTCGGTTGAATTTCTGAGCATTTTCCAGAGAGGAAGCAGACGCCACGCCTTCCGAAGCGGGCACGGAGGCGCGCGTTGCATCCACAACAGTCAGGCCTGTACGTAACTACTGCACAAAGCAAAGGAGGAGCACTGGAACCGGAGTGTTCGGCTGTTCGCAGAACGGCCACCAGATTTGATTAATAAGCTTTGGCATCGTGAACTGGCTGGCCTTACTGCAGGACTTGGCTGGAGCTGCTGAGGAGGGATCCAGTGAGGCCTAGTGTGCGGAGAGACAGAGAGACGTCAATCAAACAAGTGCGAATGTTTTCAGTCGGAGAATGCATGCTACAAGCAGAAGTGTGTGACGTCGTCACTTCTTCTGAGAGAGCTACCTTCATTGCCTCAAAGTATGCCATGCTGCAGAGTTGGGAGCCTGTGGCATTGGGGCGGGGGG